CCAGGAGTTTGAGGTTGCAGCGAGCTATGATGACACCACTACACTCTAGCTAGGGCTACAGAGTGAGACTCTGTCTCTAAAAAAAAAAAAGATACTTTTTCTTGTAGATGAATATATAGAGATGGTAGTCTCTATTACAACTTTTTGCTTCTATTATTGGATAGTAAATTATAGCATCATAACATTTCTTCCAACTTGCTCTAAAAATCTGTTTGTTGATTTTCTAGGTAATAGTCATCCCTCACTATCTGCAGGGGACTGGTTCCAGGACCCCTAGGATACCAAAATCATCAGATGCTCAAGTCCTTTATATAAAATAGTATAGTGTTTACATATAACCTGTGCACATCTTCCCATATATTTTAAATCATCTCTAGATTATTTATAGCACCTAATACAATGTAAATGCTATGTAAATAGTTGTTATACTGTATTGTTTATTTTTTATTGTTGTATTGCTATTTTTTGTTGTTGTTTTTTTCTCCTGAATATTTTCAATCCATGGTTGATTGAATCCATGGATGTGGAACCCATGGATATAAAGGGCTGACTGTATTCAGTCAAAAGGTAGTAAGTAATTAGACTTTCCTAGAAAAATATTCTTATCTCTTCAAGTATCTGCCCTGTCAGTAATATTTATCCATTACCCTAAGGAGAAATAATTTTGGGTACTAGTTTTTTTAAAATCACAACTATACCCTTTTGGAAAATGTTGGCCAAAGCGGGGTTACTCACTTCCATAAAATAACTAGAATAAGTATTATGACCCTGTTTCCCAAACCCCACATTGTTGAACATTAAATCAGTATTTGATATTTGGACTTGCCCGAGAAACTGGGATCTGTGGTTTCATGTTTACTTATTCTACAGATACTATGTATCTGTCCTGTTCCAGGCATTGTGCTAAGCACTGGAATAGAGTGGAGCTTATGATCCAGTGGGGAAGACATACATTAATACATGGTTTTAAAAATAAATTACAGTTGAGGTAAATGCTGTAAAGAAAGACAGGATACTATGAGAGCATATAAAAGGGAGACCATACTAGGTCTTGGGGTTTAGGGAAAGTTTCAAGAAGCGACATTTAAGCTTAAGCAGAATAGGTGAAAAGGAGTTGGGCTTGAGGCATCTCTCTAGGTAAAGGATGAGGAACATGGTTATGTGGGCTAGAGCTATGTGGCAGCAAGAGGGCATGGTGTTTCCTAGTGAACATCGATTACATTCAATAACATTTCTATCCTTGCTACCATTCACATTTTCTAAAACACGCTTTTAATTACATTACTGTACCAATTAAGAAACCTTTAAAACTCTTTATTGGGTAGATTATTAGCTCCTTGAAGGCAAGACACTTGTGATTTTAAATTCCTTATACCAAGTTATAAATATTGGAGCCAGTCATAATTTATCCCTGAGCACAACTTGGTTTTACTTTTAGTACTAAATGGTAGGCAAGGATGGAGTTGTGTATAAGCTAGTATGATTCTTTTTTCCCCCTCTGCCTAGGACATAAGTTTTTCAGGTTGGCTAGTGAAGGACTTTTTGTGGAGAGGGAAAAAAAAGCCTCTTTTGTAACCCAGTCTGTATGTAGTTCTTATTCTATTAATGTTTATTGTATTGAATTAAGATATTATAAACTAATCCTAGCCTAATGTTGCTTATTATATGGAATTAAGATATTGTACAGTCAGTATAGTGGCTCACTGAGCACCTGTAATCCTAGCACTTTGTGAGTCCAAAGCAGGATTGCTTGAGGCCAGGAGTTTGAGACCAGCCTGGACAACACAGTGAGAACCTGTCACTACAAATATTAGAAAAAATTAGGTGGGCATGGTAGCATGTGCCTGTAGTCCCAGCTACTTGGGAGGCTTAGGCAGGGGGATCCCTTGAGCCCTGAAGTTTGAGGTTGCAGTGAGCTATGTTGGTGCCACTGTAGTCTAGCCCTGGCAACAAAGTGAGACTATCTAAAAAAAAAAAAAAGTGTAAACAAGACCATCTGCCAGGAGTTTTGGAGGATGGTGATGGTCTCTTCTGAAGAATGAAATCTTTTTCCTTTTAGTCCTTTGAGAAAGGTATGTTTTTGTAGAAATCGGAACTGAATAGATTGGATAAAGGAATAGTCTTGGTGGATTCTGTTATTCAGTTGTGCCATCTCTTTGGGGTTCTAGTGTAGACATATGAACAGCTCATGAGGTGCCAGTCTTTCCCCTGTCCTTAGCATATAGGAGGCACTCAAATATTTGTTGAATAGGAAAAATGTGCATGTAAATGGGATAGTGCCTATGTGTTTATAGAACAATCTAGGATCAAAACTGTGTTCAGTCTAGTCCAGATTGTTTATATTCCATGTATTCTGTATTCTGTCTCTGATGGGTTTTTTCCTCCATCTTAATATTTAGTAAAATCTCCCTGAAAGTTCAACCAAGTAAAATCAAGGGAAAGATTTTTTTTTTTGAGACAGAGTCTCACTCTGTTGCCCGGGCTAGAGTGCCATGGGGTCAGCCTAGCTCACAGCAACCTTAAACTCCTGGGCTCAAGGGATCCTACTGCCTCAGCCTCCGGAGTAGCTGGGACTACAGGCATGTGCCACCATGCCCGGCTAATTTTTTCTATATATATATTTTTAGTTGTCCAGATGATTTCTTTCTATTTTTTAGTAGAGATGGGGGTCTTGCTCTTGCTCAGGCTGGTCTTGAACTCCTGACCTTGAGCGATCCACCCCCCTCAGCCTCCCAGAGTGCTAGGATCACAGGCATGAGCCACCGTGCCCGGCCAGGGGAAAGATTTTTGTGTTAGGCTGCACCAACAGGGTGAGCCTGAAATGAGAGAATTTTAATAGCAAGGTGAAATTTAGGAGTGTTACTTTAGCAGATAGCTTGGTGTCCTGTCTTTTAAAGCAGAAAATTTCTTATATATCCAAAGAATGCAACCAAGGACTTCAGTTGGAGAAACATTGCATTAAAAGTGGAATGTAACCATATAAGTGGTTACTTGAAAAAGCAAATAAAATTAAGAAAAATAAGTGGTTACTTCGTACCAGCATGATGGTAAAGCAAAACTGGATTACGAAATTGGCATGGCAATATATTATTTTTAGATTATCATATAAAAACAACATTTACAAGTTATAATAGGATCCTCAGATTCTTGATATCTCCTGACATTTATAGGTTAGGCAGATTCCACTTTGAAAAACTATGGGTAGTTTTCCTCTCCCACCAGGAGATCTAGTGATGAATCTTGAATGTGCAGTGTTATATTTTAAAGTATCTGGTATTTCATAGTATATTTGCCTGGAGTAGGGAAAGAGTACCAAAAGAGAATCTCCATCCACTTCTTTCTTCCCCTCAAGTTGTTCTCAGAGATTCCCCAATTAGAAATACCATTTGAGTTAACAGGTCTCTTTTGGGATGCCTGATTCTTAATCAGTCTTTCACACCTTAGGATCAGATGTTTTAATGCTAAATCAACACAAATTTTATTTATGCTTCAGAAAATGGAAATTTTGTAAGAGGAAACCTTAGACCCTTGAGACGATGGCATTCTTGAATGAGGTGGGAGATTCTGGCAGGGCAGCTTGAAGGAAAGAGGTTCTTGGGGTCAGGGAAGAAGAGAAAGGTGTTAAACTGTTACTTTTCAGTTTTGCCTAAGATATTGAATGCTCTTGCTGACAGTGCCTGAATTGTGGGTTTCAGAAAGACTTCAGAAATCTGTTAAGTTTAGCTTACACGTTTTCCAATCCAGACTATTCCAGCAGTTTCTGCTCATGTTGTAGCATATCCCCTCAGGAAGAGCAAAATGAAGAGAAAGATGATCCTTCCTAAGTGAAAAGTAGGTCAGATCATACCTGTTCGATAAGCTTCTTCCTGTTGGCTCCTTCCTTTCAATCTCCTATTCTCCTTCATGTTTTGTATTAAATCACCTAGCACATAGGAGGTTCTCAGACTCGCTAATTCTTACGAGAGAGAGAGAAAGCAGTTATCCAAAACTTTGACCACAATTCCTGCTCTCCTCCCTACTTTTTTGCCTCTTTTCTCTCTTTAAACAACTCTTCCTTTTTACTAGCATGTTAGCAGAAAAGAAGGAACAGCTGGTGAGGGGTAGAGGAGGAGAAAGATAACTGATTTTTGATGTTTGGGAGAATATTGTCCATCGACTTGGTTCAGCAACTGCCTGATACATAACAGATATTCGGTAATTTTTTTTTCATTTCATAGCTTAAATGTCTTGGAGAAACAAAAATTGAATGCACAGGATCAAGGCACTAAAGCTCAGGTAATACTGTCGTGCCAATTTTTCTCGTTTTCCTGTTTTATCAAAACATCTGTCATCTTTTCATCAGCAATTTAATGGCAAATCCTCTCCTCTTCCCAACTCCGCAATGAGCCTTTCGGTCTCCTCCCTATTTTCCTACTGTTCTTCGGTCGTGGATATTGCAAACTCGACCGCCTGTCTCTCAAGGTCTTTGCTTCAAGGTTTCCCGACGCTCTGGCGCTATCCAAGCCCACAGCACTTTGGGGAGAAACATCTCGGATTCATTTGAGGGGCTTGTGAAGCCTGGGGGTCTGCAGAGCCCCGTGTGGATGGGGCTGGGCGCTGCAGGGGCGGGGCCGGCGAGAAGCCCAAGGGAATGGGTGGAAGGCACTGTTGAGAAAGGCCCGGCGGGCATTGGTTTCTCAGTTTTCACGAAGGCTTCGTGTGCAAGCCTGAGGAAATTAGGTGCCTCCCTCCTGCCTCTCCTGTCTTGATTCTAGAAGCTTCAGTAGGCTTTTCTGGGTTGCTGGGACCCGGAAAGGCGCGGCTTCAGCTCCGCGGATGGGTCCCAAAGGTGGTCTTGCCGCTTCTCCAGGGCCGTTTGGACGCCTGTTGTTGGGGGAGGGGCGAGGGAGGTGCTGCTCGCGCCTTTTGCGCCTGCGCGGCGGGCTCCGAGCGGGTAGGAGCGCGTGCGCGGTGACGTGGACGTCCGGTGCGCGCGCAGGCTCTTCAGCTGGAGCGGGGACACGGTGTGCGAACCCAACAGAATAACCCGCCCCCAGCGCGATGTGAAGGACTCCGGGTGAGGCCAGCCACGCCCCGCACGGTAACTCTCGGGTTTGGGTGGAGGGCGTCGCTTTGTACTGGCCCGATTGGAGTTTTTCGAGAGTTTGAAGCTCTTGTGTATTTGAACGGCGTGAGAAGCATTCCGCTGAGAGATCTTCGCACGCCCTGGCCAGGCCCGGCCTTGCGCGGGGCCGCCTTGGCGCGCGTCTGTGGTCCCCTGGGCGAGGCTGCGCATGTCACCTCGCGCGCGTCCCCGGCCTCACTTCCGCGTCGCGCAACGAGCTAACTGGGAACATCGACGCCAGAGAGAGCGGCCACGAGGCGGGCGGGGTGAGAAGCGCCCGTGGCGCGGCCTTGCCCTCGCGTGCGTGGGGTGCCGATCCGCATGGTACGATCCGCGTGACGACTTCTAGCCCAGCTCCAGGCTCTAGGTCGAGAGCCATACTTAATCGCTTTGCAGTTTAGAGCTCAGGTGTTGGGTTTCCAAAACTCCGAGGGAAACGGTGCCGGCGTCGCTTTTCTAAGAAGCTGGGTGCAGCGTTTTGACACCTGTGCAAACGTCTCTTCTAGCATGTAATTTCCGGTCAAATTATTTGAGGCGGGACCGCTAGTTTAAGAAAGGGTGGCGAGTAAGTGAGCTGTATAGGAGTGGGTACTTAGTAAACAAAGGACCGCTGGTTTATAAGTGCAGAAATGAGGGCGGGGAAGCACAGGTGGGAAGAGCAGGTGTTATTTTCTTTTTCATTCTATGGGGTAGTCTTTGGCTAGTTCTCTATTTGTGGGGTTCCCGTTTCTGTTAAACAGTCAAGTGGGTCTCTATCCTCAGTGGAACATTAATAGACCTCTCCGAGCCCCAGTAAGTACAGTTGAGAAATCTGTGTGTGCAACGAGTGTGGAGAAGTTAGGGATCATTTCAGACGGGGTCAACACTGGACGGTGGTAATGTCTTTTTCTGAAGATTTTTGCCTTGCCTTTTGAACCCTGGGAAAGCCTCCTTCCCAGAGTGGAAGCAGGGAGGGTTGAAGGAGGTCTGAAAGGAGGGGTTACTGAAGGCAGACCAATGTGAGAAACCAAAGTACAATCCTTTTGAGGGGAGACCACTTTCCCAGGGCTTGCGTCGCCAGAGCAGACACGTGGATCATGAGAAGTCTCGAGCCCACCCGCGCGTTGCCGGTGCGTGTTGTAGAAGAGCTCGCTAGGCTTATGCGGCTAAGTCCCTGGTAAACTCCACTTGCTCAGCCCCTTGTTTTTGGGTACGACGCCGCGGGTAGGCTGCAGGGACTGTGCCTGGGGGCGGTGTGACGGCTGCTGGGAAGGGGGCTGGCCGGGGAGGGCCGAGTGGCTGGTTCTGTGGTCTCCACGGTAACAGAATGCGGCTAGGTCCCGCCGAACGATTTCTGGGTTCCGGTCGGCAGCACGTGATCTGTCCGGATTCCTCTTCCCCGGAAGAGCTTTCCTAGCGGCGTTTTTTCACATGGTTTTTGGCCAGCTGGCCTCTGCAGTTGAGAAGCTGCGATTGTGGGCCTTTCAGAGTCGACGGCCACTGCTCCTCTCAGGGAAAGCAGAGAAGCCCTGTTACTTTTAAGGGTATTGGATCAGCGCTACTGCTTCTTGCCACCTAGGGTTGTTTCCAGCGTTTGTGTGGTTTGAGTGGGTTGGGTCCACTTCACAGAAAACGCAAGCTAAGGACTTGAGGAAATTCAGTGCCCTGGATACCTTGGCATACTTACTCCAAGTTTGACTTTTTCTGTCCGTTTCTGCCGTAGAAGTTATTTTTCACATTTTGCTTACGCAACTGCAAGGGACCTGAGAGCTTTGCTACCCCTGAGTTGTAGTTACGTGCCCATTCCTAGAAAATGCTTCTGAAGTCAGCAATAACAAATGGTATTTGGGGAGAGAAAGAAGTAGTATTTAGGCAAGTGCACTTCTGTGCCTTAAAACCTATTACTTCAGACAGTATTTTGAAATTTACCCGGTGGGTTGTGACAATAGGATGCCCAGGATATTGTCTGTTATGAAGTGAGTGCGTATTAATAAATAGCAAGTACCATTTAGTTAGTAAAATCAAGAAAGTGAAATTAAGAAAGTAGTTGGCTATTTTACTGTCTTTGCCACTTTTTTGGGGTCATTTTCTGATTATATTTATATCCACATTGTATTTTTAAGAAATTTAAAATTCTGGGCCGAGTGTATATTGATAAACGCTGAAATTTGAGTGAATCCATTCTCCTAAAATTTGAGTTTCAAAAATGTAATTTAACTTAACCATATCCTTCTAGTAAAGGATTATATTAAGGAACAAACTAATATTTTGGTGCCTGTCATACAGTAATGTATTTATTTTATGAAAGGTTGTTGTTATTTTTATTTTTTTTTCTGAGTTGTGGTTATTTTTAGCAACTTGGGAAACATTCAGAATGTGTTGATCAGCATTTGAATATTTGTGTATGTGTATATTTTTTTGAGACAGGTCTCCTCGTGGTTGCTGGAGGTAGAGTGCAGTGGTGTTATCATAACTCACTGCAACCTCAAACTCCTGGTCCTCCTACCTCAGCCACCCAAGTAGCTGGAACTACAGGCATGTGCCACCCTGAGAAGCTAATTTTTTTGTAGGGATGGGGTCTTGGTATGTTGTTCAGGCTGATCTCAAACTCCTGGCCTGAAGCGATGCTCCAGCGTCAGCCTCCCAAAGTACTAGGATTAAAGGCCTGAACCACCACACTGGGCCTGAATATTTGTATTTTTAAACTAATGATACAGATTTGGAATTTTGATTTGGTGCAAATTTATTTGATACAGTACATAAATCGTTAAATCAATAAATTACCTAGTAAATTAACTGGCATATTTTGTGAATAGTTATTGCTTTAGTAAGTAAAGATTTCCTAAAGAGATCACTGGGGAAAAGACATCTAGAATAGGGACTCTGAAATAGTAACAATTTATGAAACTTACCACATTATTTACCTGAAAATGTTCTCTGTGAAAGCTTGTGTGTGTTGTTTGTGTGTGTGTGTGCGTGTGTGTGTCTTCCGATGTGACATTTCGGAATGTTACTGAGAGTATTTCCCCCTCCACAGCAAAACTTATTTTCTTGGCTCTTTATTATAGTTATTTTATCTAGATAAGTGCTTGATGTTGAAAAGCTGAACTGAAATTTTTTGAATGTTAAGGTGTATTTGTGTACCAGAACTGGTTTTTATTAAAGCTTTTATTGCATCAAATAGAGTATTTTTAGAATCTGACTAGAAAGAGGTTTATTTCATGAGTAGCCTAACCCTTTCTAAAGTACATTTGAGTTTTGCAGTTTGCTTAAGGTTGTCTAAGACTGTTAAGTGTTCTTTGTGTGTCTGAAATAGCTGATTGGCCTGAATTGACTGCTCTTTGATTAGAAAATTCATACAGTAGCCCCAAAACATAGGCATATGCTTATAGTAGATTGGAATCTGTGCTTAGATTGATGTGGAATAAGAATTCAGTTTTTTATTCTTAAACCTGTAGCTATCATGGCTCAAGATAAAGAAGGTTTTGGTTATAAATTAGGTCTTTGATTTCATGCATTTTCATCAACTAATGAATTAACTTGATTGGTGGAGTTTTTTTTTTTTTTTTTTAAGGAGCTTATACAAATATTGAGTCTGAAAGTTCTTTTTCCTGTTCTTCATGTGTGTCTTATATGAGATGCCCGTGTACAAAGTTGAAATCGGGCAATCTGACTTTTTGGCACTTAGTTTTTTTTGCTTAGGGAAAGGAAAAACTAAAGATGTGTATATATAAAGTTAGTGTAAAATTTACTTCAAATGCCATCTAATTTTTTCTTAAACTGGATTGCTGCCAATTGGATCTCTGACATTTCATAGATTAATCTTTACAAGATAATGATTTTTGTGGTTTTTTGTTTTTTTTTTTTCCTTGTGGAGACAAGGTCTCACTCTGTTGCCCAGGCTGGAGTACAGTGGCTCAATCATAGCTCACTGCAGCCTCAAACTGAGGGGCTCAAGTGATGCTCTTGCCTTGCTTGGCCTTCCAAGTAGCTAAGATTATAGGTGTGCACCACCACACCCAGCTAATTTTTCTTATTTTTTTGTAGAGATGGGGTCTCATTATGTTACCATGGCTGGTCTTGAACTCCTACCCTCAAGTGATCCTCCTGCCTAGGTCTTCCAAAGTGCTGAGATTACAGTGACCCTCTGCGCCCAGCCAAAAGATAGTGTTTTTTAAAGCGTTGGTTAAAACTTTTCTGCCCTGGCTTTACCTGTAATGATCTGAAAACCAAGACTTTAATATAGAAGATAGTGTTCAAGAAATTCCCAACTGTTGTGTGTATTTTATAGGTTTGGGATAACTAAAAATTTTTTTAATGTACTTCTTTGCCTTCTTATCATATTTGAATGTATTGCAGAATGTTTTGCATACTTCCTCACAAAAATAATTGGTTTGTAAGAAAACTTTAAACTTTATGGATAAATAAATACAAGATGAGTTTGCAGTGCTCGAGTTATGCACAGTTGTATTAGTTTTTGTGAGTTCTCTAAGTTTTATTAGTTTACAAAGTCACCTTATTTGTGATTTCTCGTCTAATTTTGTTCTGTCAATTTCTGATAGGGTGGTTGGGCAGCAACATTATTACCTAAATGTGTTAGTTTTAGAAAACCAGTCAACTTCATAGGTAAAAGCCTGAGGCAGATTTGGAAAGAATAACCCTAAATTTTATCTGTCTTTTAAAAATAAAGTCCAAATCAGAGGAGAGATTCCTCCCCACCCCCAACACCTTTCCTGGATATTAGTGCTTTAGTGTTAAGAAGTGGGTTTCTATTTTTACCTCTAGTCATAATAGAAAACAATAGCTAACCCATTTTAAGTCTTGATTCTTTATTTTTTATTTTATTTTCGAGACAGAGTCTCACTCTGTTGCTTGGGTAGAGTACCATGGTGTCAGCCTAGCTCACAGCAACCTCAAATTCCCGGGCTCAGGGGATCCTCCTGCCTCAGCCTCCCCAGTAGCTTGGACTACAGGCACATACCACCACACCCAGCTAATTTTTTCTATTTTTAGTAGCAACAGGGTCTCGCTCTTGCTGAGGCTGGTCTCGAACTCCTGACCTCAAGCAATCTTCCTGCCTCAGCCCAGAGTGCTAGGATTATAGGTGTGAGCCACTGTGCACGGGCAAATACTGATTTTTAAAAAAATGTTTATTATCCTCAGGCTAACAAATAATTTGAGCTTTGGAGCATTTTTGTTGTTATATCTGAGGAAAACCTTGGCCACACAAGATTGTATGGCCAGTCTTGTAAGAAGAGGTAAAATTCAGATCAAATGCTTCAGCTGCTCATCAGTAGCTCTGACGAAAGGTAAAATTTGATGTTTTAATTTTAATGAAGACCAGTAAATGGCCGAATTTGATTAAATGCTGACACACTTATACAGGAAATGGCATCTTTTTGTACAAAAACTAGGGGTGATAGCTTTAATTTAGCAGATCAGTTCAATTGAATTTAATAGTCTGAGATTTCTTTATAACTTTTTATTGGGATATAAATTATATAACATAAAATTCATCATTTTAAGGTATGTACCAAAAAGAAACCCCATACCCATTAACAGTCCCAATTATCCTGCCTACTCCCCTGGAAACCACTAATCTACTTTCTGTCTCTATATATTTGCCTATTAGACATTTCTTTTTTAAAAAACTTTTTTAAATTAAAAAAATTTAAATTATGCATACATAATAGTTGTATATCTTTATAGGGTACGTGTGATGTTTTGATATAGGCATACAATGTGAATTAATCAAATCAGGGTGATTGGGGTATACATCATCTCAGGCATTTATCATTTGTATTAGGAACATTCCAATTCTACTCTTTTAGTTATTTTAAAGCATACCCTAACTTATTGTTGATTATAGTCACTTTGTTGTGCTATCACATATTGTTCATTCTGTCTAACTATATTTTTGTACTCAGACATTTCATATAAATGTAATCATACAATATATGTGGATTTTTTCTTTATAACTTTTAAGAATTAACTTATTTTTAACTTATTTTTTGAAGGTTGTATGTTCACAAGGCACATAATTTAGAAAGTATCAAAGGGTGTCTTGTTTTCCAGGTTACTCAGTTTTCCTTGGATATAACCAACACTACCAGTTCATTTCCATCTTTCCAGAGATAAGTCTATGTCAAGCAAATATGTACAAGTCCTTTTCTTTCTTTGGCATTTTTTTTTTTAGGTTTTAAAAAAAAAAAGTGACATAATGTACAACTCTTCTGAACATTTTACCCTTAATATATCCTGTAGATACTTTTTATATGCATCCATAAAGTTTATTCATTATCTTTTATACCTGCATTATATTTCACCCTGTGGATGTACCATCATTGTTTAATGGATTTCTACTGATGTGACTCCCCCGTGCCTGCACCCCTTCCCCTGAAGTCTGTTGCTGTTACAAATGGTAATGCAGGGGATAATCTGGTATATATCATTTATCACAGGTATGTGTATTTAAGATAAAGTCCTGGAAGAACTGCTGTGTCGTGGGATATATGCATTTGTACTTTTGATATTTTGCCCTCTGTCATAGAAATTCTGTCATTTTATATTCCCAGCAACTGGTTAGGTAAGAATGCTGGTTGACCTACACCCTTTCTAACACCTCTACCAAGCTTTGATTATTGCTAGTCCGATAAGTAAAAAACAATATCTCAGGATGATTTTAATTTGCATTTCCCCCCTCAAGGAGGGAGGCTAGAAGTGGGTAAGGGATGAAAAATTACCTAAGGGGTACAACGTACACTACTTGGGTGATGGATACACCAAAAGCCCAGATTCCACCACTATACAATATGTATATGTAACAATTCAATTGGTACCCCCTAAATCTATTAAAAACAATTTTCATTTCTCTTATTCTGAAACTCTGTATATTTTTATAGCTATTTGTGCTTCCTCTCATTTGCACATTTTTCTATTTGGTATTTGGTCATTGATTTGTAGAATCCTTTTAATATTAGGGAAAAGAGTTTTTTTTTTTTTTTTTTTGAGACAAAGTCTCACTGTGTTGCCCGGGCTAGAGTGCCGTGGCATCATCCTAGCTCACAGCAACCTCAAACTCCTGGGCTCAAGCGATCCTACTGCTTCAGCCTCCTGAGTAGCTGGGACTACAGGCATGCACCACCATGCCCGGCTAATTTTTTCTATATATTTTTAGTTGTCCAATTAATTTGTTTCTAATTTTAGGAGAGACAGGGTCTCGCTCTTGCTCAGGCTGGTCTCGAACTCTTGAGCTGAAACGATCCGCCCGCCTCGGCCTCCCAGAGTGCTAGGATTACAGGTGTTAGCCACCATGCCCGGCCCAACATGGCTTCTTTAAATGTATGTACTAGCAAATTAAGATAGCTTTTTACTTAGTTATGAAACCATGACAGTACCATGTAAAGAGCTAATTCTGTACTGTTAGCTCTTTGGAATAGAAAGGGAAATTTCTTTCTTTTTCTTTTTTTTTTTTAATCCATCCATCACAGGATAACTTGCTGTTTCAAGGAATCTTCTGGCAAATTAATCATCAAGTGTTGGGATCCTTTTAAAATGCATAACCTTCCAATTTATTTCCTTAAGTTTGTATACTTTTAAGTAGTTTTTCTAAAATGAATATATACTTTTGTTTCTTTTTGTGTGAGATTATAGTATTTATACTGACTTGTTGGAGGGCTGAGATAAGAGCATTTTAAATAATTAGATTAAACTGGACTTCTAGAAAATGATCAGATATTCCAAAATGAATATGCTTACAGTGATTGAAAGAAGGGCAGAAGCTGGGTGTGGTGGCTCATTCCTGTAATCCTAACACTTTGGGAGGCTGAGACAGACAGCTTGCTTGAGGCCAGGAGTTTGAGACCAGCCTGAGCAAGAGCGAGACCCTCTCTCTACAAAAAGTAGAAAAATTAGCCAAGCATGGTGATGTGCACCTGTAGTCCCAGCTACTCGGGAGGCCGAGTAGGATTGCTTGAGCCTAGGAATTACTGCTGTGATAACGCCATTGCACTCTAGCCTGGGTGACAGCGTAAAACACTGTCTCAAAAAAAAAAAAAAAAACCTAATTGCCTAAACGTATATATGTATAAATTGTATGTAGGGATGATTTAATCATTTTTGTGTTTTGTTTGTTTGCAAAATATTCACTTGATTAAAAGTTTTTTTTGGTTTTTTTTTGTTTTGTTTTTCATTTGTTTTTTCAGGATGGGAAGGCCATTGTGACTATGTGGTGACTACAGTTATCTTAACTGCTGAATTCCCCACTGGAATCATGGAGGAGAAACAGATTATATTGGCTAATCAAGATGGTGGGACAGTGGCAGGAGCAGCACCCACCTTCTTTGTCATCTTAAAACAGCCAGGAAATGGCAAAACTGATCAAGGAATTTTGGTTACTAATCGTGATGCCTGTGCTTTGGCTAGTAGTGTGTCATCACCAGGAAAATCTAAAGGGAAGATTTGCCTTCCAGCTGATTGTACTGTGGGAGGAATCACTGTCACCCTTGATAACAATAGTATGTGGAATGAGTTCTATCATCGAAGCACAGAGATGATTCTGACCAAGCAAGGAAGACGCATGTTTCCTTACTGTCGTTATTGGATAACAGGTTTAGATTCCAATTTGAAGTATATCCTTGTGATGGATATATCTCCTGTGGATAACCATCGTTATAAGTGGAATGGTCGTTGGTGGGAACCCAGCGGGAAGGCTGAGCCTCATGTTTTGGGGAGAGTTTTTATTCATCCAGAATCTCCTTCCACAGGCCATTATTGGATGCATCAACCAGTATCTTTCTATAAACTCAAACTTACCAATAATACACTGGACCAAGAAGGGCATATCATCTTGCACTCCATGCATCGCTACTTACCGAGGCTTCATTTGGTGCCTGCAGAAAAGGCTACAGAAGTGATACAATTAAATGGCCCTGGTGTCCACACTTTCACCTTCCCACAGACTGAATTCTTTGCAGTAACAGCTTATCAGAACATTCAGATTACCCAGTTGAAAATAGATTACAATCCGTTTGCTAAAGGCTTTCGAGATGATGGGCTGAATAGTAAGCCCCAGAGAGATGGAAAACAAAAGAACAGCTCTGACCAAGAAGGGAATAGCGTTCCCAGTTCTCCTGGTCATCGAGTCCGCCTTACAGAAGGTGAGGGGTCACAGATACAACCAGGTGATTTGGATCCTATATCAAGGGGTCATGAAACATCGGGCAAAAGTTTAGAGAAGACTTCTCTTAACATAAAACGAGACTTTCTTGGTTTCATGGATAACGATTCAGCACTTGAAGTTCCTCAATTGAAGCAAGAGGTTTCTGAAAGGTAAGTAATAGTTCTTACGTTCTTAGAGATAAAAGGAAGATTGAGAGGGGCCAGGTTTTGGATTTAACACATTTGTTCTGTGGAATATTATAGATATTGATAAACATAAGCTGCTATAAAATATGCCACAACTACTTTTACATTTTGTGAAGTGACAGATCATTTTTCTATAATGGATTTCAGTTGGTTTCAGGATCCATAATTGTAGGCAAATTGGATAACTTATCAGAATGGGGATCTTCTATTCATTTATATTTAAAATGTTCCAGGGATCTGTGGGGGATTGGTTCCAGGACCACCTGAGGATACTAAAATTTGACAATACTCAAGTCCCTGATACAAAATGGTGTGATATTTGTGTATAATCTATGCACATCCTCTTTAAATCATCTCTAGATTACTTCCAATACCTAATACAGAGCTTGCATATTACTTTATTTGCATGGAATCAGCATAGTACTTGGTGCACAGCAAATTCAAGTTTTGCTTTTTTGGAACTTTGTAGAATCCTTCCCCCAGCCCCCAAATATTTTGGATCTGTGGTTGGTTGAATCCATAGATGAGGAACCCATGGATATGTATAGTAAACTCATGGTTATAGTCAGACCTCTGTATCCAAGGGGGACTGGTTCCAGAATCCTTTCAGAATAATCCCTTTATTGGCCCTCAGCATTTGCAGATACAGAACCAGCAGATAGGGAGGGCCAGCTGTAATTGAGGAAGGGAAGAGAAATAACCCCAAATCCATAACTGAAACAAAACTTAATCTAAATGAGGCACAGAATGGATTCAAAGTAAACTTATTTATATCTGATGTTTTTGAATTTACTGCCCCATGAACATGCTAATCCATAAATTGTCCAACTAAAAAGGAAGCTGATAATCATTACTTGTTAAAATAGCATGATTACTGTTTCTTTTTTAAAAAATTCATCCTGTATAACTGAACCTTTGGTACCCTCTTACCAACAACTTGCCATTTCCCCCACCTTCTGGCAACCACCATTCTATTCTCTACTTAGGAGTACTTTGCAGTATTTGTCTTTCTGTGTCTTGCTTATTTCACTTAGCATAATATCCTTTAGGCTCACCTGTGTTGTCACAACTGGCACAATTTCTTTTTAAAGGTAGAGTAATACTCCATTTTAAAAATATGCAGTCAGCCTTACACATCTGAGGATTCCACATCCATGGATTCAGCCAACCTTGGATGGAAAACATTTGGGGAAAGAAATTGTGTCTGTTGTACTGAACATATACAGACTTCTTTTCTTGTCATTCCCTAAACAATGTGGTGCAACAACTATTTATACAGCATTTACATTGTATTAGGTATTATAGATAATTTAGAGATGATTTAAAGCGTACATGTGGATGCGCATAGGTTATATGCAAATACTACACCATTTTACATCAGGGACTTGAACGTCCTTGGATTTTGGTATCTGGGAGGTCCTGGAACCAATCCCCCATGGATACCAAGGGCCAATTGAATATATTATGTTTTCTTTCTTCATTAATCGACGTACTCTTATTGTTTCCATATCTTTCTTATTTATTTATTTATCTTTATTTTTATTTATTTATTTTTTTTGAGACAGAGTCTGGCTCTGTTGCCCGGGCTAGAGTGCTGTGGCGTCAGCCTAGCCTCACAGCAACCTCAAACTCCTGGGCTCAAGCGATCCTCCTGCCTCAGCCTCCCGAGTAGCTGGGACTACAGGCATGCGCCACCATGCCCGGCTAATTTTTTCTCTCTATATATTTTTAGTTGTCCAGATCATTTCTTTCTGTTTTTTAGTAGAGATGGGGTCTCGCTCTTGTTCAGGCTGGTCTCGAACTCCTGACCTTGAGCGATCCACCTACCTCAGCCTCCCAGAGTGCTAGGATTACAGGCGTGATGTTTCCATATCTTGATTAATGTGAATAATGCTGTTCTTTTTATTTGAACTTGCCATATTTTGAATGTTAGAACCCAGGTTCAGCACTACCTTCCTTTGCCTTTCTTTTCTTACTTAATTTGTATTCCATTAACAGCTACTGTTTTTTGAGTTAGGAATTCCCATGCTCTCCAGTTCCCATTGTCTTGGGGAACCTGCTGCCTTTGGGCTGCATGTGGCTTTCTGGATCCTTCAGTACGGCCTTTTGACTGAATCCAAATTTTACAGAATTAATCCTTTTAATAAACGGATTTGTTCTGTGAAGTTTGAATTTGGTTGAGGGGCTGCACTTGGGGATCTGGAGGGGCCACATGTGGCCTTGAGGCTGAAGATTTCTCACCCCTGGGTGGGCAAGGTAGTGCTTTGCTTTTTCTAAGCATTGTTGCAGGGGTGTGAATGCTACTCAGCATACAGGGTTTTATATCAAGGAGGAATTTTTTTTCAATTTATACTTTTCACTGTGGTTTTCTTTGTAGTTGTCACTAGTGGGTACCATCTGTAATACTTGATTCTTCAACCGCAGCTTAATCATCTTCACTACCCAAAACAGTTTTTAAAAATTTAAACAGTTGACCACGAATTACAGTATTTTGACCCTTGTTATGCAAAAACATTTTAACCTACCCTTGGATGATGGAAAATTTATCATTAGAATTTTTTCAGAGGCTAGGGTATGAAGGAGTTTGTTGCTGAAAGAGTCAGACGTATTTTTTGTAATAGACAGTAGCTATTTGGATTACATTTGGTTGAGCTCTTGATTTTAATAGATCAAGAGAATGGTTCAAACTACTCTGAAGGCTGAGGCAGGAAAATCACTTGAGCCCAGGAGTTTGAGGTTGCAGTGAGCTATGATGACGCCACAGCCCTCATGCCTGGGCAACAGAGAGAGACTGTGTCTCAAAAAAAAGAAAAAAAAATTTTTGGTGGCCTTTTGAAAAAAGAGGATGGTTCAGGTTTACTAATGCAAAAATATCTGTGTCCCTGAAGGGGAAAAAACAACTTGAAGCATGCTCCAGGAAATAGCATTGTCTTCATGTGTGAAAAGTGATACATAGCTATGTGTAAACTTTGTCTCCAAATGCTTGATTTGGGAACAGAAATTATTTTAAGACAGGAGTTGGCCAAAACAGGCTTATAGCCTACTTTCGTGTATATATGAGAATATATGACAGAGACGATATGATGTTTGTGAAGCCTAAGATATTTACTATCTATCCCTTTACAGAAAAAATTTGCCAACCTACAATTTAAGGGTTTAAAAAACTTAATATATTTATATAATTTTACTTATTCATTTTCCATTTTCTATTAAATCCCTGAAATATAATTGCTTTGTTGTTCTACTTAATTGTTTTTAGCTAATGTTATCAATGCATTCTTCATTGGTAAATGCACTGATCTTTATTCAGGCTTTGTTTGCTCCATTTGCAATTATTATTTGACCATTTTCTCTTACTTTAAACTCTTGTTTTTTCTTCCTTGGCTTCAACCATACCATTCACATGATTCTCCTAACTCTTGATTTTTCCTTTCAGTCATCCTCACTGACTCCTTGTAATATATTCAGCTATTTATTAAATAATGGTTATTTCTTATAGTCTTATCTATGGCTTTGACCTCTTCTCCCATGTAACATTGATTATTTTTAAAGCTAATAATATCTTTAGCTTGTATTTGTCTGTTTTCTTAGTTCCAGACCTCTAGGTCAAAATAAAACTCCCAGAATTTTACCTACAATGTTCATTGTTGTATCCAACTCCAACTGAATTTTTTTTTTAAATCTTAAAACCTACCTTTCTTTTGTATTAACTATCATAGTCATTCAAATTGGAAACCTCTACATTATTTTTGCCTGCCTCCACAAACTATTCTCCTGTTAAATCATTCTCCTTTTATGGACATTTGGATCATTCTCTAGTTTTTTACTATTATGAATAAAGCTACTATGAACATTCTTGTACACTTCCTTCCGTGGACATATGCACTAATTTCTCTTTGTTATATATCTAGGAGTAGAATTACTGAGTCATATAGTAGGCATACTTTTAGTTTTAGAAGATACTGCCAGAATTTTTCAAAATGATTATACCAGTTTACACTAACAATGTATGAGAGTTCCTATTAGCTATTCTTGTCTCACTATCTTTTGAGGCAGCTAATTACATTAATGGATGACTGCCTGTTTCCTCTAAGTTGAAATTTATATCTTTGCCCTCCCTTTTTTGGTATCTTTACTCTCTTCTTTTTTAAAAAAGTTGTAGTTGTAGAGGGCGGAATTAATTCATACCCTCTTTTACATGCGTGTCCTTCAAACATTTGGAAAAATATTATAACCCTTTAAGATTTCTGTTCTCCTTTATTCAGTCATTCACCAAATACGAATGAACACCTTCTAGTTTCAGGTACCTTTCTAGGCACTAAATAAAACAAATTCCTGCATCATTGATCTTACATTCTATATAATTCCAACCTAAAGATTCACAGATCATTTAGCTTTTCCACGTGTGGCATAGTTTTCTGATATTTTTTCCATTTAATTGGTTGATTGCACACTGCCGTGGTTGCACTTAGGATTTCTGCAGCGTGTATTTTTCCCCCAAGCAAGCACATGACAATACAAGTGAGAATGACGTTATTACAGAGAGAACCACTCTGGCTTAATAGGGAAAAAAAAAAAAAGAATTAATTTACAAGTGGTCAAAATTAGACATATGAATAGATTTGCAAAAATAGGTTTTCCTCAGTGTAGAATCCTGCTTTCTCAACATTGTACATCCTATGTTAGGCGTTTTTAAAGGGCTGCATTAGTATCCATAAGATGGACTGAGTCCTCTGTTGATAGACTTGGAGATTGTTTCAGTTTTTTAGCTGTTACAAATAATACTTCAGTAAAATTCCCTATGCACATTTTCTTATACACTTTTGCAAATACAGTGATCAAATCTTAGGAATGGAATTGCCTAGGTCAAACGGTACACAGATTTTCAGTTTTGATTAATTGCTAAATTACATTCTAAGAGGTTACAACTATTTATATCCCTATCCATAGTGTATGAGCCTACT